TGTGACTGTAGAATTTTAAGAGTTGGGGTACTAGTAGGAGTGAATTTGGGAGACAAAAGTGGTACTTAGATAATGGGGTATTTGAGACTGATTAAAGATGATAGTTGTAATAAAGAAAAATTCTAGGGAATGACCCTGGGAGTTTAAGGCTGAGATAGGGTGTTGTATAATAAGATCATCAGAAGTCAGGAAGTCAAAGAAAGAGAGATCAGGTTACCAGGTCTGTGTTGATAATGAAATCACAGAGTTACGTGTGCATGGGTACAGCAAGAAAAAAGTTTTTATCCTTAAGAAATGAGAAGCTTCCAAGAAGATTAGGTAATTGACAAAAGGAGATATAGTGCAATAGAATACAAGACTCATAGAAGCTGGAAGAAGAAATACAATCTACAATGGAAGGCCACTCCGGGACCTAAGGTACATAAGGTACCTAAGGTACATAAGGTAAATGGTTAAGGAGAGGTTGGAAAAGTCATGTAAGCAAGACCAGTGAGGAAGACTGATGAACAACCCAAGGGGCAACACGTAAGTGGGAAGACCTGAGAGGGTGTTCCCAGAGATGCACAGGCATGGGAGTATGGATCATGGTATGATGAAAAAGGGCCCTGGCCAAGGTTCATATCTGGAGTTAAAGTCCAGGAGGATGAGGCTTGATGATCGATACCAGATGGGCAAGGAAAGGGAGTCAAAGCCAGGCATCAGTGTCAGAGCACTACGGTCAGGGAGTTAAGGTCAGAATATATTCTGGGCTGGGTATGAACCTGGGGTGTGGAGTATAGAAGAACGAGCCACTAACTTAGAGGGCTACCGCCAAAGGCAATACCCTCAGGTGAGAATTTTCAATAGGGGAAAAAGGAAATAGGCCATTCACAGAGGAGATATAAGGGGGTTTGTGGAATGATGTAAGGTTTGGAATCAGAGTACTGTTTGGGAATTCAAAGAGAGTATGTGGGTCTGGATGAAATTGCTTTGAGGCCTAGCATAAACAGGGATAAACAGTATAGCAGGATTGTTGTCCTGGTGCTTGTTAGTTATGCAACCTCCCCACTAAAAAAAGGGTTGAAACTCTAATTCCAAGTTCCCAAGTACTTCAGAATATGACTGTATTTGGAGGTAGGGCCTTTGAGGGGCATGTTAAGTTAATATAAGGACATTAGTGTAGGCCCTATCCCAAATCTGACTGATATCCTTATAAGAAGAAATTTGGACATGCAGAGACATATTGGGTAAATGCACACCTAGGAAGAAGGCACACATATGCAAGCCAAAGAAAGATGCTTGAGAAGAAACCAAACCTGCTGACAACATTTATCTTGGATTTCTTACATCCAGAACTGTGAAGAAATTAATTACTGCTATTTAAGGCACTCGGTGTATGGTACCTTGTTATGGCAGCCCTAGAAAACTAATAGAGTTTTCTTGGTGTAGGTAGATAACAGTTTTAATTATAGCCTTCTTTTTGAAACTGCTTAGGTAGATGGTGTTGTTTATTTAGGAAGCATTGTGTGCCAAGGAAAGGCAGGGGTCTTCCCAGGGGTATGTGTAACTCTTTTTTGTCTTGTCAAGATTCAGTGTCACTTGTTCATTTGCCCATACTGCTTTCTTTCTGCCTTCTTTTAATTCCTGGATTGTTACGGATAATACAACTGGTTAACCATATTAATTATTCATTCATGTCTTCAAGTTGTTTATTTAGTGCTTATTATGTGCCTAATGTAATTCTAGATATTGGGATAGTAGTTAATGAAAGAGATAAAAATCTGTCTCTTCAAAGGGCTCTTCCTCTAATAGCTCTGATTTAGGGTTGTGTCTGTCAAATTTTCTAGTCTTCTAATTGGAGTTCTTATAACAAAACCCTCCCCATCCCAAACCATAGTATTTATTATTCCTAAATTAACCATACATAAAATATATATCTTTAAAAATCTAAAAAAGTAAATTCATGGTTCTATATTGGTTTACAAATCAAAATTCTTATCTTTCATTATGGCATTCAAGTTTTGATGTGGGCCTGAATTACTTGTTTGTGACTTGCTCTGAATTAGATTTGAATCCTCTCTGGGAAGTCTATCCTTTGATTCATCATATTGCAAACCTGACAACTGAGGGCACTAAGAGGCATATGCTTGTTAAGAAAGTCACCATAGGTCAGTGCCGTGGCTCACTTGGTTAATCCTTCACCTGCAGCACCAGCATCCCATATGGGTTCCTGGTTTTAGTCCTGGTTGCTCCTCTTCCAGTCCAGCTTTCTGCTGTGACCTGGGAGGGCAGTGAAGGATGGCTCAAGTGCTTGGGCTCCTGCACCCGCATGGGAGACCAGGAAGAAGCACCTGGCTCCTGGCTTCGGATCAGCATAGCTCCGACCATAGCAGCCATTTGGGGGGTGAACCAACGAAAGCAAGACCTTTCTCTCTCTCTCTCTCTCTCTCTCTCTCACTGTAACTCTATCTTTCAAATAATAATAAAAAAGAAAGTCACCATATATACATTTGCTATTACATAAATTCTTTAAAAGATATTTGGCTAATTTTACTCCCTGTTGCTGTCAGCTTTCTGCAGGCCAAGTATCTGATCCAAGAGCTCTAAGCTCTAATTAGTAGTTTGGCTGGGGGCAGAGTAGGTGTGTAGTCAGAGAAGGAAAGCCTGGCTGTGCAGGGGATTTCCAGATCTGCTCCGGCAACTGGAAGGGGCTCCGGGTCCCTCTGCATGACGTTTTCTGTGGATGGCAGCTGATTCCCCAAACAATGGGCATGACATTATATATGTATTCATTTTGCTTGAAACCAGAAATGTAGATTTTTTTTTAAAGGAAAACAAAGCAACAACCTTTGACATATCTTATTGTATCAGTCAGAATCTAGGCAGGAAACAGAAGTCATAATCAAAAAGGTTTAACTGAAAAACATGTAAGGAAGGGAGTAGTCACAGGGTTGTTGGTAGGGTTAAGGGAAGTAGCAACAGTGGGAAATCATTCCCACCCTGGACCTGAGGGGTACTAGGAGGCAATGGTATTATTAGAGACTCATCTGCACTGAAGTGATAAGAAAAAAGGGCTTTTAGACAGGCACTGCAGTCAAAGGGGGGACACGGTTTGTCCAGAATTGTGGTTTAGCATAAAGGGAGGAGTAACTGATATTCTGTCTTCTCTTCTTTAAATCTCTGGCAGTGCTTCTCATCAGTCAGACTCAACTAGAAGTCACAAGGCAAACAGACTCTGGGAATTTATCAGGCCTCTTAGGGCAGAATCTGGTAGAAAGCGGAAACAACAGATTTGGGGAAGGAAGCAGAGAATTCTGCTATTATAAATACTCTGTAATTTTAGGAAGCTCAAAATAATCAATAGATGTAAATGCAATTAAAAACCCACATACACCTATCTTTCTAGTATTACCTACTTCTCATTCACATATTTAACTTAGCGAGTGTTCTGGCCACCATGGTACCGTTTTAACCAAACTCTTTTAAATAAGAAATATGAGAGTAAATATTTTATACTTTTGGCAACTCTTAGGATCAAGTGGCAAAAATGGAAAATATGTTGTATTTATATAACCATTTAAAGGGCAATCATTTTAACACATAAAAACCAGTCATTCAAATTCAGTGTGCTGGATTTGGTCTGTGGGCCAGTTTACCAACCTCTGGGCTGGAAAGTCTCCTCCTAAATTTTTACCAACCTAAGCCATATTTTTCAATGTCAAGTTCAAGTAAAACTGCCTCCATGTGGTCTTTCACACTGGGGCTGTGAGTGACAGAAAATCAACTTTTAATAGCTTAACTGAAGCTGGGGAGAAGTTGAAAGGATGCTAGGGTTGGAACTCAGAAGGGAGGAGCTGCAGAAGCCCTGGAAACTCAGGATTTCAGGTTTGCGGCTGTGGGCTGTGTTAACACCAGGACATGCCCTCTTTCTCCTTTCTTTTATCTTTGCTTCTGACATCAGTTTGGCCTCACTGTCCACCGGAGAGGGCAGAACTTCCCCACAGGAAATACTTATCAGCCTTTCTTTATACAGTGAGCCCAGGAGGGTATTTTGCTTGGTCTGTTTTGGTCACACACCCACCTTTTGGTGAACGTTCCTGTGGGTGGAGAAGAGAGATCCTGGTGTCGAGCAGCTCTACCGCCGCCGCGCAAGTCTAGGAGCGGATCCCACGCCTAGGAAGAAAGGGAAACGTTTTCCTAAAGAGAGGGAGAATTCTGTTACCGGGAGATGAAAAGGAGAGGCTATTTTAGGGTGATAGAAAGTAGACTCTAAGGCGTGACACTGCTGTAGCAGAGTTAAGTCTGACATATGGCGTTACCAGCCCCCAGTCCTCAACATCACACTTGGTAGACATTCAAGTGCTCCTGATGAATGAATGACTCAGTACCCCCAGCTGGTTGTGAAACTCTCTTCTCTAAACTGGCTCAGAACTTTTACCAGCTGCTCTTTATTCTATTAGAGCCTTTATACGCCCTTATATTAGCTCCTCTCTAATCTCAGGTGCAGAAGGCGTGCCCGCCAGCCAGACACGCAGGGGGCATCCTGTGGAAATCAATCCCACAACCACAGCACAGAGTGCTGACCCCACGGTTGACAGGGATTCTTAGGTTCTGGGTCACCCGTCGAGGCCCAGTGGCCCAGGCCTTCAGGGCAAAACGCCTCTCCCCACCACCCTCGAAAGGCAGGACCGTCCACTGGGAAAGAGGCAAGGCTCTGCGGGGGGCGCGGGCCCGGCGGGGCCCTAGCCTCAGGCACGTCACCGAGCACAAAGGAGACACGAGGGAGGCGCGGCGGGAGCGGATCTTCCCTTGCCAGCCACTCGCAATTGCGGTTGCAGACCTGCAGCTCCCCTCCCCCGCCCCCAGCCAGGCCCGCCCGCCTCCCGCCGCCCGCCTGCCGGCCTTTCTGTCTCCTCTCTCCTTCCGTACTGGACGGCCCGGGTCCATTTCCGGGCTCGGGATATTTGGTACTGAACGGGGCTGTGGGCGCGGAGCAGGTGGCAGCTGCGGGGCAGCTGGGCTTCCCGCCTGCTCTGCCGGGGTCATCTCCCGCCGCCTTTGTCAGCAGCCGCAGCCCGGGCCGGCCCGCTCCCTCCTCGGGAGCCCGCGCACGCCGCCGGCCGGACTTTGGCGCTGCGTCGGGCGCTGCCGCTGTGTGCTAGGGCCCGGCTCGGCGTCGGCTGTGCTCGGGAAGCGGACGGCGAGGGGCAGCTGGGACCCCAGGCCCAACATGGCTGAAGTCAGCATCGACCAGTCCAAGCTGCCGGGTGTCAAGGAAGGTAGGGGCCGGGGCGGGAGGCGCGCGGGGCCACTCCCCTCTCCCCAGCCCGCGTTCTCTGAGAGCAGGGGCGTCGGCCTTGCGCCCCTGCAGCCCTCTCAGGGCACCCGCCAAGTGTTGGGCTGGCCGGGACGTGGAACGGATGAATTTAGTGGTGGGGGGAGCCTTTAATGTGCCAAGCCTGTTTTAAACCTCTGAAAGGAGCTGGGGTGGGGGGAGGGCAGCACCACCCTCAGCAACTGGTTGTGCAAATGTTTTCGTGGATGGCAAAGCCCTTTAAGTGAATGCCAAGGAGTTGGGTAAAGCAGATGTATTGTTCTTAAAAATCTGGGCCCAGCCTTGCTGTCTGGAAGGCTGGGACGTGGGGAGGGGTTGACAGTTCCCGGCCGAGCCTTTGTTTTGAAACATGATTCTTTCCCTACTTTTCATAGCCCGGAGTCTGGCTGGCCGACTCTCCCTCCTTCCTGGAGGTTTAAAAGTTAGCATTGGTCTTGCTGCGCTCAGGAGGATGGGAACCCGCTCTAAGCATTTTCTTACCAAGTACAGTGAGCGAGGAGAGCAGGGGGACTATTTTTTTTTAATGGCTTCCTATGTTTATGTTCAAGAAAATAAATATTGATTAGTATTGGCCTGGCTTAGCTAGGCAGCAAGTAGCCCTTTGAGTTTCCTTCCGTGGGCTTCATTAGGTGCATTTTTTTTTTTTTAATTGAGATCATGGGTGCTGGATTACTTTCACCTTTAGTTGTCTTTGGTTCTTTGGTTTTAGGAAGCAGAAAAGTTCCAGAGTGCTATTTCAAGCCTATTGTTTCTGAAGGGTGTTGTAGCACCCTTAGGCCTGAGGTTTTAGCACTGGTGTTTACCTTTTGGTTGCTAGCCTGGCTTTAACAAGTAGGTACGGTTCTCACATCACTGTCAAAACTAAGAAACCTGAGTGATAGGAAAGGCAAACCAGTGCTTTACTTGGAGAGGCCTAATATTCTAGATGTCCCGTGCTTTTGAATAGGAGTTGTGTGTGAGTGAGACTTGGGTGTGTGTCTATAAAATAAGTGATCCTACTGTAATACCTTGCTTTCTTGGAAGGTGATGCCTACAGTGAGAATCGGGGTTCAGTTCCTAAGTGGTGTGATTTTACTCAGCCCACTTTCCATCTCTGATAAAACTCTAAAAAAATAAAGCCCTCACTTTATGAATATTACTCTTTGGCCTTTAGTTTCTTACCAAGACATGAATGATTTATTCTTGCATGCAAGTATTATTTCTCAAGGAGTCCCACAATATGTTCTATCTAAAAATGGAAAGTTTTTCCAGTCCCAAACTGTAGAACTTAATATGTTCAATTTTGCTTTAATTTTGCATGATAGGGTGCTTGGCAATCCAGTTTATATAATCTGTTAAAGTGGGAATGCTTAGTGTGGTTCTTTCATTTGTCTTCATTAATGTAGAATTAAATACATTTTGATTTTGAAGGTACTCAGAGACTGTTGAGACGATCTTTGTAAGCATTTTTCTGGTTCCAACATTGTCAAAAGGATCATGGATTATATTAGGAATGTCCTAGAGGTGGTGAAGTTTTTGATGTGGGAAGCATTCAAGCCTAATAAGTATATCTTTCTTTAATATAATTCCTAATTATGGCTCAGTTGCTCCCTTACAGTGTCTTTATCCTAATTAATGAGAATAAACCTGGCATCATGAAAGGTAAAACATGCACAAATATTGAGACTTTTATTCTACTGAAACTCCAATTAAATTTGAGAATGAGTTGAGTACTAATTTGTTTAATATTCTGGCATGGATTTTTGAATTCTGAGAAAGTGCTTCCTTTATTTTTCTTTTAAACTGTTGGTAGCTTTTATATATAATCATATTTGGCAACATGGGGTAGATTCCAGTAGAAGAAATTGAGAATGATAATGCAATTGATGTGTGCCTCTTTGACTGCCTTTTCTTTAGGAATGTGTGAGGTACCCTGTGACCTTTGTTGTGAGCAGAGGTCCTGGGTAACAGCTGACATCAGGGTAAGGGGATATGTATACTACTTTTCTGTGTTAGAATCCAGTGCTTGGACAGTCCTTTTTTAAAACACACACACACACGCCCCCAGGCCCCCTCATACCACCCCCCCCATACCCCATGGTGGTATTTATACCTTGGGCAGTCTCAAACTGGCAGACCAAGAGAGATGTTTAGGTGAACAGAATTAAGTCAACTAAATGTCAACACACATAATTTTCTGGTTAAAAGAGTATTTGAAACATCTGTATAATTTTTGTAATGCAAAACACTGTTGCCAGTGTTTAAGAATATGGCTTTATTTCTTTTGAAACATTTGGAGGTCTGTGAAACAAAATTTGAAATAATTCCCAACTTTTTTTTTACATTAGTGGATGTGTAACTGAAACACAACATGCAATTTACAAACCTTAGGCAAAGGAATAGGCAGGTTCCAACAATATTGTGAAAGCTTCTTATTTTGGAATTCAGAACTGAGAAAACATTTTTCTAAAAATGAGCATTTTTAATCAGTTCACAAAGTTAGCACTTTTAACCATGTATATCACATTTTCTGTTGTCAATTTAGCTTCTTTACTGAATTTTCTTTCTGAAATAGCAGTCTACTCCCCACGTTCTTTTCGCTCTTTCCAGAGTCCCCTGACTTAATTTCAGTTGCCCACTTATCCTTGTAATTTTGCCATTTTTCCCTAACAGAAATTTTATATTATCATAAAATCTGGCCTGAGAGCTTCAGCCTGCCCATCAAAGCCTGGCTAGGCCATTTTAAATTTTAGCAACTTCTTTGAAGTTTCTTAAGCATCACAGTTTTCATACCTTTAGCCACTTAGCAGTTGCATTCCAGCCTTCCCAGCTTCTTTAGTTTTTTCATCAGATTCCCAAATTTTTTATTTTGCTTTCTCTTTATTCTTTAGGTGGAAAGTTCTATCTCAAGAGTTGGTGAACTCCAGGTGTGCCTGTGCAGTCCTGTGTTCTTGACACATAAAATCAGTGTACCAGCCTGCACCGAGGCTCACTTGGCTAATCCTCTACCTGCTGCGCCATCACCCTGGGTTCTTGTTCTGGTTGGGGAGCCAGATTCTGTCCAAGTTGCTCCTCTTCCAGTCTAGCTCTCTACTGTGGCCCGGAAGAGCAGTGGAGGGTGGCCCAAGTGCTTGGGCCCTGCACCCGCATGGGAGACCAGGAGGAAGCACCTGGCTTCTGGCTTCAGATGGGCGCAGCACGCTGGCCATAGTGGCCATTAGGGGAGTGAACCAACAGGAGGAAGACCTTTCTGTCTCTCTCTCTCACTGTCTAACTCTGCCTGTCCAAAAAAAAAAAAAAAAAAAAATCAGTGTACCAAGGAGTGACTTGTTTCTTGAAATACAGGTAGCTAGCAATTCGAGGAACAAATTCTTGTATCTTTAGTGAAAGATAAAATTGAATACATTTTTAGAAAAGCCTATGAAAGGAAGCATACCTGCAAAGCTCTAATTCTTTTTAGGTCTCCATTATGCTACACTGGTAGCGTAATGGAATAAATTCAACTAATGGTTTAAATCCAAAATTTCAAGGGAAAAAATGCAAAATTATATCTGGTACAATAAGTGAACCCAGTAGTCTCAGAGTTGAAAAGTTTATCAGATGTACAATAGGCATCTGTTGTGATGGCTGTCTGTAAGATGTACTTAATTTATCTGGCTCCAGGGCAAATTGGCTTTACCTTTGCTTCAAAATTCAGCAGCAGTTTTTCTTGTTACTTTTTTAAAAACAGTATTTTTGTTTAAGGACAGAGAGAGCCTGTTAGTTCCATCTATTAGTGCATTCCCCATGCTTTTTGAAAAAAAAAATGCATTTTTATTTATTTTAAACAGAGATAGTTGGGGCTGGGCCAGAGTAAATCCAGGAAAGGAACCCACATATATCTGGAAGGCACTCAAGTACTTGAGTCATCACCTGTTGCCTGGCACAGCACAGTGTGTGTGAATTAGCAAGAAGCTGAAACTGGAAGTGGAGCTGGGACCCAAACCTAGGCACTCCTGTGTGGGCTGTGAGCTTCCTAACCAATGAAGGATGCTATCCTCTCCCCTCACCCCCATTTTTTTTAAAGAGACTCTGGCTGGATCTCTTTGAGCTAGGAGGTTTGTTGTATCTTATCTTCCTTTACCCTCCCATTCACATCTGTCACCTGATAAGCAGATGTTAAGTAAATATTTGAATATGTGAGTGAATGAATGAATGGCTGTATTATTAGATGTACTCTACTGGTTTAAGAATTCTATTTCTGGCATAATAATTTCATATTGCTTCTCAGAGACAAGCTTTTAGAGGACAGAGATAATTTACCAGTATTAACTTTATAAAGACTTTGGATTTTTTTGTTTGTTTCAGATTTTTTTGGGTGGAGTGTCTGTCTTGTAAATAGAATTCATCCAACATAGATAGCATTAAAAATTGAAAAAGTTGTTTTTTTTCTTCCAGCTTTGGACACAAAAGTCATTGAGTATAGGGCTCTACTAAAACATTTTTTAAGTGTAAAGCAGGTGGAAGGAATCTTAGATACATATATTAAATAATAATTTGGGGTCAGTGTTTTGGCACAGCAGGCTAAGCCACCACGTGCAATTCTGGCATTCCATATGAGCACTGATTCTTGTCCCTGATGCTCCATTTCTGATCTAGCTCTCTGCTAATAGGCCTGGGAAAGCAGCCGAAGACGGCCCAAGTGCTTGAGCTCTTGAACCCACATGGGAGATGAGGATGAAACTCCTGGCCTCCTGGTTTGGAAGTAAACTAGCAGTTGCAAGATCTCCGCCCCAGTAACTGCCTTTCAAATAAATAAATGAATCTTTTTATTAAAAAAAAAATATTTGCTAGGTGTCATATATTGTGTGAGTATAGTTTTACAATTAAAACAAAAACAAAAAATGTCTTATGGTGTGTGGACTTGGTTTTTACCATTGTTTGCAATACATGAGCTTTTTGTCAAGAGCCCTGGAAATTCATGTA